ATCGTCATGTTGTTGTTCAGAGCACATGGTTCTGTTTCTGTTTCGATGATGATGTTGGAGCATCTTGATAGTCATGTTGCTGTTCGGAGTATACATGGTTCTGGATTGGTTCGACGATGTTGTTCGGAGCATCTTTGGTTTGTTTACGTGATAATCGGTTTCTGGAGCTTCTTTGGAGGACAAATGTTTGAAAGAGAAGGCAGTTTTGGCAAGAGATATTGTTACGTCCATTTCATCATCATTGTGTTCGTAAGCATGGTTTTCTTCGACATCGGCATGAAGTTTGGGATTAGTAGCAGTTATATGTCTGATAGTTATAGAATTTTTTTCTTGTGTTAGTTTTTGTTTTGGTTTTCAAATTGTTGATAAGTAATTATCATCAATTTGGGGGAGGGTATTAGAGTACGGGTAGTACGAGTAGTATTATGTTATACTACGAGTACTGTTATGTAATTGAGAAAGTTATATTCCTTATCAGAGTTGTAGAAGTTAGGTTATTTTCGTATTAGTATTAGAGTTATTATAGAAGTCAGTCTCTGTACTCTATATAAACCCTATTTGGTTTCAATAATAATACACAACAGTTTTCACCGTATTTCTTATTTACCAACAGGAGTTATTGGGATCAACTGGTTCTTGACAGGCAGCACGTTGCTGGTGGGAAGAAGCGGGAACCGCCGAAGAACAGCTACTTCCACCACCCGGATATTGATGCTATGTTTCGGTTGAAGCCACAAAGAGGAGGAGCCTATGCCTGAAGTTTAGCCCGGAAGAAGAAGAAGAAGAAGAAGAAGAAGAAAAAGAAGAATTAGGGTTAGGCGATTTTTCAAAGTAGGAAGCTTAGTGATATGATTTGATTGCTAGTAGGTTGACTCTCAGTGTATAAATGGGTAGCTGTTGAGCAGGGAGCGCTCTCTGTTCGCCGCCTGTAATTAGGGCTCTGTTTCTCTTTTTGATATCTTGTTTGCAAAGCAAGTCAGCTAAGACAATTCTAATTCATTCTGTTTATTTCATGATTACTTCTTTCGTCAAAAAGTTGGTCATTCTCTAGTTGCAAGATGGTTGCTTATGTTTATTTCATGATAACAAAAATAATTAAAACAAAAATAATAATTTCCACCTCATTGTTTGTGACCTTTTTTTGTTTTAATTATTCTTTAATTTATTGTAATAATAAGGTGGAAATTATTAAAAATTAATTTTTTATTTTTTTAATTTCCATGTCACTCATTTAACGGTCAACTATAAGAGTTAAACGCCACATCAGCAAAAGTTAACGGAGACTAACGGTCAGTGACCAAACTTGAACTGTTAACCTAATCTAAGTGACTACGGATGGAATAAAGTAATTCTAGTGGCTAACGTAAACTTTATTAGTAATTCAAGTGGCCAAACTTGCAATTTAGTCGATAAAAATGATATTGCACTTGAGATGTATAATGAAATGCATATATCATTATTTTTATCATTGTTGAAGGCATATATAAATTTAAAATCATCTTTTATAAAAAAAAATTTAAATCACCTAGTTAGTGATGGTATTGTTCCAAATAAAGTTTATTTAATTTTCACAATGTAGTATTATGATTCTTATTTTCTTTTATGTTTTATTGTGCCGTTATTTTTCATGCATAATTTAATTTGATAACTTTTTATTTAGAACAAGTAACTTAATCAATTCATCATTTTTGTCTTAAGTTTGAAATATTCTCATTTATTACTTTTAGTATGTTTTTGTAAAGTATGAGTGTTAGAAAAATTTCATATAAACTATATGGTAGAGTACATAAATAAGAAAAAACTTCTGAAGAGCTTATGTTTGGTTACTTGAAGTAACTAAATTATGTACTCGTGATAACAATTTGTGATGATATTCACTATGAATATGTGTTTACTAAGAATGCATCAAATCATAATTCACCTGAAGGGAGAAATACGGTACAAAATATGGCCAAGCTCTAAAAGAGCTAATATTTTGTGGCCTGAAGGAATCAAACTAGCTAGTGATAATGCATTACCCAATTAAAATGATATTCGCAAAAATGAATATCTTATCAAGAAAATAGTGAAACTAATATTTGCATCACAAATATATACTACATGTATATTAGTACTATCAGTACACAAAAACTATAAACCAGAAGTTTACAAGATTTAATAACTTGATAATTTTTGGTTGGTCCGATTAGACCATCCCGGATCTTGATGAGTAAAAAAAAATCTTTGAGAATTCATGAGAACATCATATGAGAAGTCAAAGAATTCTTCAAAAGTTATTATGTCATGCTTGTTCTCAAGGAAAATGGAACAATTGATCATCGCTTGTAAAAGAGTTGGCAAATCTCTTGAGATTTTATTGACGTGTATGCAGAACAATACATCAGTCATGTGGATCATCTGTGAATTTTATGAGTTGATGCATCAAATGGATGATCACATGTATTTTATCTACTCGCAACCCGATGTTTGCGAGATTGGTTGCCTCACTATAGATACATTTTGATGGTTATCCAATCAAACATAACTTTGCTTATGAGAACAAGCTGAGCTTTCTATTCTCTTGTCAAGGACATGCTAGCTGGAAAGTGATAGTATTGGTTCGCATCTAACCAGAAAGTTATCATAAGTTTCCCTCCTTTTACAAATGGTTTTGGTCAGAAACATAACATATGAGAATATCAGGGTGTGCCGCATACATCCCAATTGATCCACCACAGCATCTTAAGTTGATTCTCGTTGGAAATTGAGAATTTGTGTTGGTTATGAATTCCAAATGGGGGATTTGTTTGCGAAATTATTGTTTTGATGTATCAATTTTCCAACATTAAGGGGTAGAGATAAAACAGATAGACAAAGAGATGAGTTGGAATGAGTTATCATTATCTAGTTTTGATCATCAAATTAAGAAACATGAACCTGAAGTTCATAAGATGAATTATCATTACCAACTATCAAATGTATTTACTGACCATACAAAGTGTCCAAGTCATATATACTAGTTGTGAATGCTCCAAGTAAGTTTGATATCCTAGTTGGTTTACTTTAATATAAAAAAATGTGTCTAAAAGAGCGCATGAAGCGTGATAGACCAATCGGTTCCAATGATAAACATCCTCGAGAAAGAAAAGGAGTTGTAATTAGAATGATCAACTCGAGGACATGAAAACTCAAGAAGAGTACCCCAAGAATAAAATAAGATTTTAGTTCCAGAAGAACACATGTATCTAAAAGTTGTGAGAGCGAAGAGATCTCAAAAACATATTGGACTACAATACTGGAACCGTAATGAAGTCATTGTCGACGAAATTTGTTGTACTTCAATATTGAATATGATATATACCAGTGAGGATCAAGAGTAAAACTCTATTGTTTCATGCAAACGATGATGTTATTGGCCAATATAGAAAGAAATCATGAAACTTGCTCAAGGAGCATAATTTTTAAAGACCATAAGTCCTTACACCTGAAAAGGGTAAAACTAGCGGGATACAAACAAATTCTTGTGCTATTGGAAAATATGAAATTGTGAGAGATATAACATAATGTTTTGCAATGGGTTTCTCGAAGAGACATATCATTGTTTGAAAGGAGTTATGCTCCCCTGTGGATGCAACTACTTTTTCTAATCAATGTTTAAATATATATTTGAAAATTGTTGTGATAGCCTATTTGTTTGATTATCTGAAGATGTTATATATATTTGAAACTCCAAGAAGGATAATTTACCAGAAGTAAACAAGTTAACTTCTGGAGAACATATATCGATAGAATAAGAAAATCCCTTGTATGGGTTGAGACAATATAGACGAATGTGAAATACTCATCTAAGTGAACACCTACAACAATAGGGTGAATCGACCACTACAAAAATGACGGTCAGTTATGACCAACGGTTTGGCGTTGGAAATGATCTTTTTCGTTGCAAATGACTTGTTAGGACGACATACAGACGTTGGTCGTCGTCGGAAAAAGTCTCATCGCAAAAAATGGAAATTGGTTAGGGCGTAATAATAAGAATATTTGTGACACATAGTTGGATGTCATTACATAAATTATCGTGGTCATAAATAAAGTATACTTGATGCTCAGAAAATGATGAAGTTTATTTTTTACGGAATATTGTTTTTTTTAACAACCAAATGTTTTCAGCAATAAATAGTTAATGACTTAAATACCCTTCGACTATATTTACGAGGACTGTGACTCATTGAAAAATTGTACAATTTGGATCGATATTTTAATTTCCAAACTACCCTTTTTAATTTTCAACAAATAATGTTGCTCAGGAAAAAAAATTGTCACAATAATATTATTTGTGATGGAACTGGATTTGTTGTTGTTCATTTTTTGAAAAAAATATCATTTTTATTTTGCGACTAATAATATTGGTTGGGAAAATATTTTGTCGTAAATATCATTATTTGTGATAAAACTTTATTCGTTGATGATGGTTATTCCAAAAATACCCTTCCAAATTTGCATCGAATAATTTTGGTCGGAAATTAAAAAAATTTGATACTTAAATTAGTTGTAATGAAATTAGCTTGGTCACTAATATGTTTTACGAGGTCCAGTTGTCCTAACAAATAAAATATGAAGCGTTGGAAATGATGTTACATATCGTCAAAATTATTATCATAAATTTTCACAAATAAATTGTCTCAAATAAATTATTAAGCGTTGGAAATGATGTTACATATTGTCAAAATTATTACCAATGCAATTGTAATATTATATTTTAATTGTAATTTCATAAATAATTAAAAAATATTCGAAATAGCTAAAAGACAATTACTTGGATATAAAGAAAGGTGTCATATGATCACCATTATCTTACATACTGGATAGTTAAGACATGTGGTGTACACACCAATGTCTTCCATGCACTAAACGAGTGCACAAACAAAACATTAAACATCGTCTTTCTTGCACTAAACGAGTGCACCCACAAAACATTAAACATCATCGTCTTTCTTGCATTAAACGAGCGACGTTAAAATCTAACAAAGGAAAAAACACAACGAATAAACAACACTCCTAGCTGCAGACCTCCATTGCACGTCGACCACTGCATCATCAGTTTGTCCCGTCACCCTCCTCGTCATCTTCACTGTCGTCATCTTCTTCCTCACCATCAACTTCTTCATCATCATCCATGTCATTGTTGTTTGCAGCCTACATCATCTCATAGAACATGAAAGTGGGAATTACTCATTCATTACATACATACATTTAATAATACATTAGAAAAATGTGATCAGACTGACATTACAACTTTGGCAGCTGGATTCCAAGCCTCTTCAGCGTCGCCTCGACAACCAGAGGCATATTACGGTTCACCTGCTCGATTTGTTCTTCCATCATTCTCATCTTCTCATCGCTCTTCTCCTTCTCTATCCTTTGATCCTCTTTGCATTTTTTGCTGCAGCCTTGGCTTGAAGTAGAGCCAAACACATCCAGGCCACTGACCCCACAACCCATCCCAAGCACTCGCTTCCTTCGCTGCTGGCCTACCACCTCTCCATAAATAGCAAACGTGTTCACGTCCTCCCTTTTGCTCAACTTCTCTGCCTCCTTGGCCTTCATTCCAGCCTAAACAGATCAAGATAAAAACTATTGTTAGTATTCTTGGTTCCCCTATGCACTTAAACACTACAATAACACCAAGCAATATGATTGGAATTCAGAATGGGTTTACTTACATGTAGAGCCTGAGCCTTGGGAGTGGTGAAATTATCCTTTGTTGAATGAAACTTCCTGAAAGTCTCATTAGGATCAGGTTCTCTGCCTGTCTTCTTGATCTGCAAAGACACAAGCAATCAACATGAGAGCACACTCATACATACAAAAAAGGGGAATCAAACAATAAAAGAAAAAGGTACTTGGCTTTGTAACACACCTTTTCCAATCTGTACATTGCCAAGGGAGCAGAACCACAAGTTGACTTTAGCTCACATTTCTCATGGCTCTCCTTGTTCTTGTCACTTGTATCCTGCATGTTTTGGAAAAAGCAGAAGCACAACTAAGTTGCTGATTTATATAGCACAATAAACTACTCGACATAGGATAAAAGCAGAAGGTCTTACCACCCAGCTAGGGTCTGACCATTTGCGAACCATTTCCCGCCAAATCTTTGGAGGTATTTCATTTGGTGGATTGTTCGTCCGGCCAGCCTTGGTCGCATGCGCCTTGAACACAGGATTGCGGATTGAGTACATCCACTGCGGGAAATTGAGTCAAGCATTCATCTCTTCCTCCGAGTGGGTGCAAGCAAATCCAGACTCCTTGAAACGAGCAATCACAGTCTCCAACTCAGCTGCTGGATACTCACTGAAAGTGATCCACGGTCCACTTATGCTCCTCTTGAAAATTGCTGACATTTCACGGGCTGCTGTTGTTGTCACAATCCTGCAAAAAAGTTATCACACATACAAAACCACACACTATTTGTCAATTGCACCAACACATCATTATGCAGTAAATGAAAACCGAGCATGTCATAACTATTGTCATGGAATTCAAGTACAATTCCATGACCTGGCTTCACCCCTTTTCTAGGTCCTCGTCCTTTCCTCTTCTTACCAGAACCTTATTCAGAATACATTGGTCCTTAATTAGACCTTTTACACAGTAAACGTGAAAAAACAAAAATTAACTTAAGAAGATCAAGTGATTACTCTGGTTCCCTGCCTCTCCATCTGTGCTCCTAACTGTTTCATCAATCTCCATTGCAATGTCATCGGAAGGAAGCTCCACATGCTGAGTTTCTGGCACATTTACATATTCAGATGTTTGGTCGGTGTCCTGATGAGCAACATGAACACTTTCTGCAGGGGTGGGTATTTCTTGTTCATCTGCAGGAGTTGCAGGCGCCTTCTTCTTCAGATTTTTGCGTGTCCTTGACTTCCCATCTAACATATACATGTAAAGGTATGTTAGAAGAGGGGAAGATGAACATATCCTACAAAAATGGTTAAACGCACATAAACAAAGGCATACTTCGTCTCTTGGTTGTGGTTTGCTGGGGAAATGTTTATGGCTTAGGTAAACGGTGAAGGGAGGGAATATACACGAGAGTGGTACTTATGCAGAGTGAGAGAGAGTTTAAGTTTTTAGATACATGGAATTTTTAATGACCTTAAATCAGGTTTTCCCTCGTTAACCCGCTATTTTATTGGGTTAGTGCAACAATACATCGACGAATGATCCGAGAATTAACTCAGTGTATTGCAATTAATTGATGAACCAGGTTAATTGTGATTCAATTGAAGGCGTGAACAATAAGCCGAAACAACTAGCATGCATCTGAACGGGAGAATTAAATCATCGCGGCATTTAATTCAACGCGTGAATCCATCAAAAATTTCCAAAATTGAACACTCGATAATGGGAAAGATTTTAACTTACTATGCGGAACCCAAGCAAATCCATATTGGGAGAAGACGAAACAATTGGAGCTTCGTTTGCAACCACCACCTGCTCTTCCCCATCCTTCGACCAGCGGCATGCAACTCCTCTACCCTAGGTCTCGTTCGTACGGTTCACCTCCGAATGAGACGGAGTTCCCGACATGCACCGATCTTGGGTCTTTGTTGTCCACGATTCCAAAAGCTGAAGCGCCTCTGCAAACATCGTATCCTTCGATTTTGGGGTTATAGACTTTCTGCCTCGCGATGCAACTCTCTTCTCCCCCTTCCTAACGATGTCGCCGGGAAACCGCTCCTCCATTTTGGACTGGACGACAGTCTCCCGGCGGAGAGTGACATTCAATAGAGGTGATTTTGGGGTTTTGGTAAAGTGAAAAGGAGGATGAATCATCCCCTCCACTAAATTTTTATCTCCTTTCCGAGAATGAAACCCCAAAAACGGCGGCGTATTCTTCCTTTACATCAGTGGTAACTCTTGGGGTAATTAATTAACTAAATGAAATTGCAATCTCCCATTAGCATTTGAACTTAACGAAATAAAAGATAAGTATAAAACAAATTGCAATCCTCAATTATTAATTGGACTTAACGAAACAAGAGTAAGTCTAAAACAAAATGTCACCGTATAATTGTAACAAAAGTCTAAATAAAATCTTCAAAACCCGGTCTAGTCAAGTTCAAGTTATCATCGTCTTCGTCATCCTCGATTATTGGAGGATCATCGACAATTGCGTCTTCTTGGTATGCTTGTTCTTTGAGAATTTCTTCTTCCTCGGCTATATTATAGAAATTTCTCGGTCTTGTCTCAATTACCGTGAACCAATCTCGATTTCCGACGCACTACACATAATACACTTGAAGTGTTTGACTCGCCATAACATACGGTTCGCCGACATGGCGCTTACGTGTCCTATAAAGGGTCACCACGCCGTGGCCATCCCTCCTGTAGCCTAAACCTTCTCGCGCCATGTCGTACCACTCACATTCAAGTAGTACCACATGAAGGACTTTGGTATAGCGAAGCTCTATAATTTCTTCGATGATGCCATAGCAAGGAATTCCAACGCCATTTTCACGTTGCACCATTACTCCGCTATTTTGACATGTCTTCGTTGCCTCATGCTTTCGCATGTGGAATCTAAAACCATTTATGTAATATCCTGTGAAGTGCAAGACTCGTTTGTTTGGTTCTCGAGATACAGTCAACGTAGAAGGATACAATGTTGCAACCTTTTCTTCATTCATTTTTCCAACCTATAAAATTAAATTAAATTTTAAAAAAAGGATACAAAATTTTTGTATTTAAATTTTTGTAAATAATTAACCAAATTTTAAGTACCTTCATTGCGAACCACTTTTGAAATTCCTCCCTATGTACTCTTTCAACCATTCGAACTCCTCGACTACTTAGCACTTGTTTGTGCTCTCTGTATATGTACGGAAAATAAATTATTACCGTGTTTCTAATAATTATACTAAAATAAATAAAGACATTATTTTGGCAAACAACTAAAACATACCGGATAAATTCCTCCACTTCGTCACAGTTTTGCAGGACATAAAATGTGGCCTGATAACGATGTAATTGCATGTATTTGCACCCCTAATTCTTATCCGTTCGGGAGGCATAGTCGTGTATTTTGGCCTATTTTACGTCGGGTTGTTCTATTTTGTTATGTTTCAGGTCCCAGGCGTCAAAAGAAAGGCTAAGCACGAGTTTCGAGGCATTCGGAGGTCATTTCGTCAAGCTGGAGCCAAAACACGGGCAGGCCTAAAACAGAACACGGCCGTGTTCAGTGGCCGTGTTTTTACTGCCGAGAGCAATTTCAAGTGGGGCAAACATTGGCTAAAAACACGGGCAGAAACACGGCCGTGTCCATCCAAAGCACGGCCGTGTTTCTCCCAACTGCTGGCCGTGTAATTAACCATGGCCGAGGCACGGGCGGGCTCAGGCAAAGCACGGCCGTGTCCTCGACCGTGTTTTGGCCTCTGATGCCTTTTTAAGCAGATTTTCAGCCAAAGAGAAAGGGGATTCGAGTTTTTGAGAGATAGAACGATTCCTAGAGAGAGAAAGTGACGAGCAAGAGTTCCCAAGTGCCCTAGATTGATCTTCAACACCATTGGAGGCCAGTTTGAGCTTGGAGAAGTGCCGATCAACATCCAGGAGCAGGAATCCATCCTTCACAGTATGAATTCCGCGTCTGATTCTGCTTTTGCTTCTTTCTCCATGGAGTAGTTCTCCCATTCATCTGGGTATGGAGAACCCTAGATTTGTATGTTAGGCTTTGATTGTATGAACCCAAGTACTGATTCTATGATTGATTATATTCGATTGAGGTTTGAATGATTGAATGACTTGAATCCTGATCAAATTCCTGTTGTTTCTGCTTTAACCTAGAATGAGAATATCTGCCTAGGTTAATAGAGTATCCTTGATTGAAGATAGGGAGTTGGTGACTTTAGTCGAGGAACCAACTCACTATTCTGTACCGGATTTACTCTGGTAGTGGAGGTTTTGTTTATTAAGGCCTCAATCTGTTTACTCCGGTGGAGGTTAGTCGCCCGCTAGAGATTCAGATTGAGAGGGTCTGAAGACCTTTAGTCGAGACTTCAGGCTGTTTAAGAACCTTCCACAGTATAACTATCATAGAAACTGAATTTGGTAATTACAATCCGGCTTAACTGCAGTCTAGGGGGAACCATATCCGGGTGACCTCTTTAACCTGAATACAACAGTTTACTTGCTTTGTTTGTTTGGTAGTTTAGACTTGCATTCCAGTTTCATTGCTAGATAACAAGAACTCACTGAGTAGTCATCAGATCTAGGACCCGGGTTGACATATAATCCTAACCCGCTATACTACGCTTTAGGAAGTGGTTCCACTTGGCAAATTCCTAGGGTGACAGTAGAGTCGAGTCAAGTTTTTGGCGTCGTTGCCGGGGACGGCTAGGTTGTTGAAGAAAAGTTATTTCTGTTAATTTAGCCTTTCTTTTTGCTTTGTTTGCTTTGTCCCACTTGTGCCTTCACGGGTTTGCTTGCTTGAGTGTGTGCAAATAGTGCATGACCCGTAGCCAGTCGGTAGGTTTACTGCCGTTGAATCCAGAGATTGAACGCACCTGTCGCCAACTCCGGAGACAACATCGAGCTAGACTGGCTACGGAAGAGCGCATAGACAGCCACGTGAGCAGTGATTCTGAGGAGGAGTACAAGATGGAAGACTACAATCAACACCAGGGGAATCCTCAGCAGGCTCCCCCGGTGAATCAGGTCCTGGGGAACAACCCCATACCCCAGGATCATGGAGTTCATCATCCACCGGAGCCGGGTCCCACCTTGGAGTACTACTACACTCCGCGGATTGCTGACATCCGCCCGGTCATCCTCTACCCGCCTATCCCAGCAAACAACTTCGAGATCAAGCATGCTGGATTCAGCTCATTACATCTTCCATCCAGTTCCATGGCTTGAAGGATGAGGAGGCCAGGGTACATCTCTCCCGTTTTCTGCAGCTGATGAACGGGTTCAAGCTGAATGGTGTCCCGGATGATGCAATCCGCCTTCACCTCTTCCCCCATTCTCTGGCGGGGAATGCTAAGAGGTGGTTGGAGACCCAGCCCCCATTGTCCATCACCTCTTGGGACGATCTGGCTGACAAGTTCGTGCACATGTACTATTTGGCATCGAAGACTACAGAGATACAGCGGGAGATCACTCACTTCCGCCAAGAGCCAGATGAGTCACTTCGTGATGCATGGGAGCGGTACATGGGATACTTCTGGCAGTGTCCCCA